TCCAGCGGCGGAGGAAGTTCGCTGACGCCTCTTCCTTCCACCCGGGGCTCAGACCCACGCAGTCCCCTTGCCGCGGCCGGAGGCCCGGCGCGCTGGGAGAAAAAGGGATTCGTCCACCGCTGTCCAGGTTTTTCCAAGAACCCACCCGGGGGGCTCGCCCAGGTCTTTCAAGAGGGGGGACACACAGCAAACTTCAGCATGGGTCTCAAGCCTGCTTCAAACCCTGGCCGCCCCCGCACTGGCATCCGCACGTGCAGGGCCGTGCTGCCTGTTGTAACACGCCCGGGAGAGCCCTTGAAACGCGCGCACACGCTTTCGCGAAGGGCTCTCCCGTGACTTAGGAATCGCAGGAACATCCCCCTCACACTGACACGCTGGGAACCCACGCCCGAGCCCCTGCGTTCTCATTCCACAGCACCCCAGCCGGCCCTTACGTAGCAGCGACCTGCACACCCGCAGCAGGGAGGAAGCGGGGACTCCGCCTCTGGTCCCGGGCGTGCTCCTCACCCGCGGTCTGTACTTTACCGTGAGAAACATTCACATAAGCGGTAGGAGCGTCAATGAACAAATCGAATGGTCTTTGGTACTAAAGAAGCGGTCTTCATGATCTGGACTAAGAGAAACGGATCAGATCCTGGGAAGATGGCCAACGTCGGTGCTGCTGTTAAGAGGATCATTTGATTCATTTCATTACGTTTCCGAGACAATCAGGCCTGTTTCTGGTCTGTTGATAACCTGGCACTTTTCCATTACACCAGCCTGCATCAGTGACATGCCTAACGGCACCTCGAATTTGTACAGGTGTTTGAAAATTTTTGAAAATTTTCACTTTTCAAAACATTTGAAAATTCATTATTTTATTTAGCTTCAGCAAAACATCACGTAGCAAAGGGAGTAGGTTATCCAGTGGGGGTTATTTTACTAAGAGTCAAGTGCCTGGTCTTCAGGGCCACTGCTCTTTTCACACATAGGTCCTGGTGGAAATGGCCTGGTGGGCCTTTGAAAGGTTTGCACTCTCCATCCCAAGATGTCAGTGAACCCCACCTCCCCCTGCCCCCTGTATTCACAAAATCTGGAGCCACCACTATTAACAAGCATTTATTTCCTAGCCAGAGATCATAATTATACAACATTGCTGACCGAGGGGAAGTGAAATGTCCCTTTTCTTTCTCTCTCTCTATGCCGCTCTCGAAACAAAATTACAGGTCATCAAATATGAGGTTCCAAACACAGGCTCAATCCAACTGAAGTGAGCTGTTGGGTGTGAGCTGATAAATCTGTGAAATACATGTTGATTACTCAGGGGTTTTTTCCCCCCTGAAAGTTCCTCTGGCTGGAGTGTGGAGAAGGATTCTTTTGATTTAAAAGAAGATCAAGTCTTTGAATACTTTTTCTGTATCTCAGTAAGAAAACGATAAATGTTCCTTTCTGCCGAAACTCCATCTAAGGGCAGGCGTGAAGGTGAAATGGATGTTAGGCATTTTTACCTGTGGAGGAGAGATGCTGTCCACAGCCACCTAGATAAGAGTGGCAGTTTCTCATCCTTCATGATTTTTTTTAAGTGTGGTAAAATACACATAACATAAATTTTTATCATCCTAACTTTAAAAAATATTTTTAATTGTGGTAAATATGCAGAATATTAAATTTACTCCCTTAACCATTTCTTAAACGTCCAGTTCAATAGTGTTAAGTACATTCACATCCCTCCTACCTTTTAAAACTACTTGGATCTCACACTAGCTTCTTCCATATTCCACTCTGAAGTGATGGCCCACTTCAGTTTGGGCAGTACAAATGATATTTTGGTGGCTCTGGAAAAAAAGAGTCCTAAAGTGACCATAATATTTTTGAATCATAATAAAAGGCTCTTGGATCTTTCTTAAAGGACAGTCAGGATGGCCTTTAGTATCTGGAAATTCACAGGCAACTTCCCTCCATGAAACACTCTCATCTGGCAACACAATTTTGACCTGTGGTTTTTCCAAAAGCTGGAAAAAGGCATCTTGGATGTTGCAATATTTCCTCTAAGAGGAGAATGCTATATGCTAATCCAATCAATATTCTATCAGACGTATTTCCCTTTCAGATTGCCCTTGAAAGCCATAGACACTAGGCAATAGAAACATGATTAAAAACTAGACCTGTAAGATTAAGGAGCTATTTTTGTCTCAAACTCTAACAAAATAATATGATCCATTTATGTTGTATACATACCACACTGATACTGTTTTTCTATCACTTCTGCTGCATGTTTATTTTTTGTCCTCATATGATGGTATGTTTATTGATTTGAGAGAGAGAGGAAAGGGGAGGGGAGAGAGAGAGAGAAAGACAGAGAGAGAGCCATTGATGTGAGATATTGATCGGTTGCCTCCTGTACATACCCTGAGTGGGGACCAAACCTGCAACCTAAGTATGTGCCCTGACCGGGGATCAAACCCACAATCTTTTTGTGGTGTAAGGGACGACCCTCAACCAACTGAGCTCTGNATGTGCCCTGACCGGGGATCAAACCCACAATCTTTTTGTGGTGTAAGGGACGACCCTCAACCAACTGAGCCACCCAGCTGGGGCTCTGCTGTGTGTTTACGTAGCATCTTTTTTTCACGAAGCTCAAGGTGCATGTGATGGCATCATATCACTCAACTTCATACATTTTAGGTGAAGAAGGAATGGGATGGGAACTGTTAGCCTGACTGTAACATGGAGAAATGGCAGTGTGAGGTAGTTCAACCATTTTCCTGAAACATCTTGGTATTCTGGTTTATACTGATCTATCCTGAAAGAAGACCGACTGGTGAAAACTCATACAAGAAACAGTTGTTTAAAAGCCCTAGCTATTTGTTTCTTTTTTACATCTTACAGAAAGACTGAGGGCCATTATTCACCTTCTTGAAAGAGAAAAGGAGAGGACTTTGCACTGTGGACTTGGAAGTCAGATCATCCTGAGTCCGAGCCCCCAGTACCACCACTTAGAGCTTTGGTAAGTTACTTACCTGTCTGTGCTTCAGGCTCCTTATCTGTAAAATGGAAATAATAATCATACCCACTTCACATAGTTATTTCTAGGATTAAAGAAAATAATGCACATTAAGCATTGTGCCTATCACATAAGGAGAGCTTGATAAACATGGGTGAAAAGGTACTGGCTTCCTGGAAGTGGTTGCTTTTAGGAGCCTTGTTCCAGTGATGTCTACTTGAAGAAAAGATGTACTGTCCCTGCAGGTTGCATGGGAGGAATTTGGAGAATACTGAAGATTTATATTTCTAACCCTTAAACCAAATCTCTCCATTCCTTAACATTTCATCACAAGATAGCCATCCAGACTTAGCTTATCTACTTAGACCCCCTGCCAGCTGGCCAATTTGGAAAGCAACTATGACACTAATTTCACCCAGACAAAGCTAATGAGCTGTGGCTGAATCAGATTAAAAATCAAAATAAGAATAATGGCTTTCCTGTGTTGTATGTCTATGTGATCTCATTTAATGGTGAAATGGTAAAGGTTCATTAAAAGCTAATTTGATTCCATCTGGAGTGGTTCATTCCTTCTTAATTTTTTCCATTTTATTTCTTAATAATAATAATTAATTGACAATTCAGGGAGCAAACCAATTAACACACGTAGACAAGAGAGACAAAATGCAGAAATTGCTCCTGGGCCTTCAGCAAACCTGGGCACGTGCGACGTTGCACAGCCTTACATCTGCTCTCCCACTCTCTGAGGTACCGAGTTCCTGATTGAAGAATTTCAGATGGCAAACTGTAAAGGTGAATGATAAAATGACCAACCAGGAACCCTTTATATTATTAACAAAATTACATGAATTTCTCAGTTCCAAAAACATGTAACACATAAAGTATTAAGCTTAACGTTTGTTCCTAAACAAGACCTAAATTTAGGAAATATAGCATACAATTGCATCCTAGCAATTTAACAGCAAATAAAAATGTGGATATCGCCCAGCGGGTGTGGCTCAGAGGTTGAGCATCGACCTAGGATCCAGGCGATCAGGGTTCGATTCCTGGTCAGGGCACATGCCTGGGTTGTGGGCTCGATCAATGACTCTCTCATCATTGATGTTTCTGTCTCTCTCTCTTCCTCTCTCTGAAATCAATAAAGATGTTTAAAAAATTAAAAAAAAAAAGTGGATATTAAAATATGATGCCTTTCCTTATTTTTTCAGCAGAAATTTGAAACTAAAAAGCCTCAATAAATGGTCCTTGCCCCCCCCCCTTCAAAGGTCCTGACAATTTATTTCTTTCACTTTGCTCCTGATTCTTAGTCATTATGTCCTGGGGGGTAGGTCAGTCCCTGAGCATAGAAAAATTCAGAAAAATTGAACTCCCAAAACTGATATAAAAATTTTTTCAGTCTGCCGAACTCCAATTCAATCTGGACTGTGTCCTAAAGGAAGATTTTGGAGGGAGATTTTTCAGATTTAGGACTAGAGAAGGAGAGCCACGTGTAGGGGCCCAGGTTGGTGTGGGGAGGAAAAATAATTTTCCTTTTACCCTTCTAAGTTCTTCTGCCTGTCTAATAATCAAATTAACATGAGATAGACTAACAGGATAAAATAACCAAATTTATTGTTTATGTACATACAGGGGTTTCCTAAGAATACGGGATCCCAGGATAAATAGGGCATTTAAGGTTTATATGCCCTTCTGGACTAAGGGAGGGAGGCAGGGGTCTGGGCTTCAAAGGGAAAATAGATGAGAAAGAGCAAACATTTGGTAAACAAATTGTTGTCTGGCCACCCGGAAACAATGGGGCACAGAGGGGAGTCCAACAAACATCTTGCTAAGGCAATATCTCCCTTCTTTAAGCAGATTTTTCTAGCTGGATTCCTTTAGGCAGGTAAGATTCTTTCCGAGTCTTTGTTTCTTAACAATAACCAGCTTACAATAATTAATATCCAAAAAGAACATAGTTTAGGGTGGCAAACTCTATTCTCCCTCTATGGAAAACTGAGGCTTGAACCTCTGGACTTTGCCACCACCTCTGCTGATGTGTTGCTAAGGGAAGTACACGACCCCTTACAGCTCATTCCAGTCTATCATTTATCATCTACAGTAGGCTAAGGAGTGAAGGCACAGGCCATTCTCTGTTTGAACAGCTTGGGTCAGAATCCCGGTAGTGGCCGAGTGTTCTATCTGTAGCTTTTCGCTGATATCTGTCTGGAGGAGACTCGTCTTGGCTCTCAGTTCCTTTGACTAGGATGGAAAGATGAAAATGGCAGTCTTGGACAACATGAGTAACAACTGCATTATTCATGCATGATTCTGGCTTGGTTTCAGGGTTTTAATGATTTAAAAAGAAGAAGAAATCAATGTAACAATTGACCAGCTTAATTCAGCCCATGTTTACTGAGTCTGCTTTCACTGCCTAGGGGTGAGCTAGGGGGGCAGAACTGGCTTTCCATGTGGCCATCTGGAAGGCCTCTCAGAATAAATGAGGACCAGGCTATGCCCCAGCCCAGACCCCAGGACTGGGGGAGATAAACTGGAATCTTCTCCAGTTCACATGTATAGCTCTCTCTGAGTGAGCTTGGGCACACAGATGTTGGGCCAGGTTTTAGGTTTGTCAAGGGTGACCTTCGCTCTTATGAGACGAAGCATCTTGAGCTGACCTTTCTTTCATCATTTCATCATTTTGTAATTCCTCATTTACTTCTTTGTCTCCTCCACTAGACTGCACACACCTGGAAAGCAAAGCCTGTGTACGTGCTATTCATTGCCATACCCTATACAAAGTGCATAGTACGTTCTTTAAAAATATTGCGGGATGAACGAAACCTAGTAATGTGAATGCTCAGCATATTTGGAATTTGGTTATTCCAGGAGTCCATGATCATTTACTCCAGAATCCTTAGAGGGTACTAAAATAATCTAGAAATGGACTAGAAGGGAATATGTTAGGGGTGGAAATAATGAGGATAAGACAAAGCAATTGAGAAGCATGTCCGTCCACCTCGGAGAGGAGAAAGAAGGGAAAAGAACGAACAGAGATAATTCTGGGTTCTCAGCAGGATGTGCTACAAAAATAAACCACTCAAGTTTTTTAAGTGTCAAAATGAAGTGGACTGAAGTAAATGGAGTTGCAGGAATTTGGCCTTCAAGGAAGGGGCATCCCAAAGAGTTCAAACTCCAGTAAAATTCTTCTACCCCTTCATTCTCCCTCCCAATTCAACTGAGAACATCTGATTGCCCTTCCCACCAGAGCTGGGATCCTTCAGCTCTGAGGACACCCAGGGAGACTCGGTCTTTATTGGGTCTTTTTCCCCAAATGTTCCTGAGAGCCTCCAAGAATTACCTAACAGCCTGGGAGTTTTGACCAGAGCCTCAGAATCCTGGCAGTGCCAACTGGAAATCCCAGCAGGAAGCTTATGAGGCAAGTAGTCCCTGGGGAAAGATAAATGATGGCTGAAGCCTGACCAAATTAGCTAGGGTCCAAGCATGAGATGGAATACTGTACGGTCTTTAACAATTACAGAGACCACATGGATAGAGAAACATGTGGTGTGATCCAAATTTATAAAAATATATCTCTATGCCCTGAAAGAAAGAAAGAAAAGAGAAATGAAGTTATATACTCACAAGGATTATTTCTAGATGTTGATATTCCAGGAGAGCTTAATTTTCTTTTTTAAATAATTTTCAATGTTTTAAAAACTATCCTTAGTAAAATACACATATATGAATGGCTGCTGTTCATTGTTCTGTATACTGCTCATGAACTATAACTATAGATTCAGGTGAAAATATCGTGCAGTAAATTATAGCAATTGTGATGTGTGGTGCTTTGTGAGCACCCTGTGCTTTTGAGCTCATAACAACAAACAAGAACCTTTCTTCTCTTTTAAAAATATATGTTAAAAGAGGTAACATGCTCAAGACAACCATAACTGGCAAAGAGGTCAGATTCAGCATGCTCAGATCCCAGGAACCTGGGGCTCTTGGGGAGGACACTGAGGGTCATAAGCAATGTGCCCCTTCTCTCACTAGCCACTAATGGGAATGACTGGCTGCTTCAGATCTGAGCAGTCTCCCTTCTTCCCAAGCTGCTCTTGAATGGTGCATTCAACATCTCTTGTCCCCGCTATTAAATCAGGCTGGAGGAGAGCTGTGCCGCTGATCCAATTTCATTGAGATTGATTTCAGTAAACTTTGCAGCAAGATGAGGCCTGGCTGCTTTACATCTCTCTCTCTGTTTCTCTTCAGACAAACCCAATCAGCCCTGATCCCTCTACATTTCTGTCAAGGGGTCAGCAAATTGTTTAGGTCAGAAGCAAAGCA